CCATATCATTACATTGCCATTTATTGTGTTCTGTAACAAGATCCTGCACAGAAAACTTTGTTGATCCACAAAGTGATATCTTCACAGCAGTGAACACATCAAATTTCTGTCAGTGCAGTGAAAATATCTCTTTTCTCAAACTCAAAAACTCAGATAGGCAGGGTAATTCAGACACGCAAGAAAACACTTGTCTCAGCTCCAGACATGACGTTCAAGGTCTACCTTTCTTTACAAGCATCTCTCTGTGAACGAAACCTGACTATGCAACCTACTTCCATCCAAAATAAACACTCTACTGACTAGCCATGCAAGAACATCAGGGAAAGATTTTAATCATGAGCATAGAAATGTTAAAGGGAGGTGTTCCTAATTGGAACAATTTATCAAAATACCTGGGCCTCCTACTGTAGGTGGGATGAGAAAACATGGAAGAAGTTTTACATGAAATTCATTCAAACGTTATCTGAACTGTCTAGCATAGTTCATCAGTAATAAAATGCATCATTAAGTATGCAAATTCTTGTCAGTAAAGATAGGTGTCACTGCATGTAAATTCAATGAAGTTTTATAAATACTCTGAAAAACATGTCATTACTTAATGTATACCGGTACACATATTATCTGAAGTAATATAAGTACTTGGTAGTTGCCGAAGGTACAATGGTTTTATTGTCTAAACTTTAAATTTAAACTGTATCTACCTTGCAGTCTCACAGACAACCTATCGCTTGATGTAAAGAAACCTTGATAGTGAACAATGAACAAGCAAAACAATTTTGTTTTGATTTTAAAATCTGGACCAGACAATCAAGTGCCTGACCACAACCACCAGTGAATGATGAGTGGTTTTAGAGCTTTTAGCAACATTCCAGCAATATCACAGCGGAGGACACCAGAAATGGGCTTCACGCATTGTTCCCATGTGGGGAATCGAACCCGGGTCTTTGGCGTGATGGGCAAACGCTTTAACCACTAGGCTACCCCACCGCCCCCGACCACGACCACCACATAACCTGATCATGATATCTTACAACCACCGTTTGCTGGGAACATATTCTAACCTGTATTCTCAGGAGGACAATTTGAAAATACATGTACATGATACAGGAAGATCCATGATCCAAGTAATAAAAACTAACCTTCTAGTGAAATAGGACTAGACGATTCACCAAGGCATCAGAGATAATAAGTTTCCCATTCAAGATTTGCTGTGTCATGTTTACATAATCAGACCTACCAGCGACTGTGATCAATAATGGACAATGCTACACGGCTATGCTCATGCAACTTGGCAGAGTACTAATCACATTTTATTTTTAATCAATGACGTAACTAAGCTGTTTAAGGGATTATTTTGGAAACATTAAAGGTGACATGCAACCAAAAAATCAAACATAATTAAAACACAATTATCACTTATTCATGACATATAATATACATTGCTGGTTATGTAAAAACATATAAACAAAATTATAAGCGTACAATCGCAAATCAAAAGTGCAATATTTTGTACTTGGGTTTACTTCCAAAGAAACGAAGCAGCCGGGATACCGAACCCAGTCAGAGCAGGTGGGTGTGCTTTCAAGTGTAACGGCTGGGTCATTTGCAGATGCCCTCACGGCTCATTGTGTGTGTATATATAGAGATGTTGGGTTTTGTAAATACATGCTCATTTTTTGTGTATAACATTTTGCAATCAACAGACATCATAACATGTCATGTGTACAAGTATCACACCTGCCTGTCTGTGTAATTACATAATGTGACAGAGACCGAACTCGGGCCATAAATCAATGCGTTTTGTTTATGGTGTATAGCCTGATAGGTGTTAAGGTTCAAATTGCATGTGGTCAGTGATTGAAATTGTGTATTGAATATTGTCATTAGCAGACAGGCAGGCAGACACATAGGTGCCAATAAAACAGACATTGAGTTTTGTCTGTGACAACGACATATCTATATCACAGTTAGAAATTCTGTCAACGCTAAATAATGACATTGCTTTTAAGTATCGAACTGAGAAAGTGACTCGGTAAGAAGAAAATGTGGTGAAATAGACAAATGAAATTATATAAACAGTTAAATCGGTAATCTACTGTAATAACATATAAAAGCTCAGCCTGTGAAATATCAACAAAACATTAGAAAAATAGCTCACACCAAAGCCTTCACCGAGTATTCACCGGACAACCCGCTTCCAAGCTGCGCGAACATATTTCATTGAGCATGTGCTATGAGCGCAGCCCAGCTGTTGAAACCACTTCAGTTCCCCCAAGCGCTTGGGGAAAGTTATTGAATCGTTTGAACTACAATTTCGTGCGGTTTTTTTCATCGCGTTATTTTTCAACTTTATAAGTTGAATTTGCATTTTTGATGATTTGTTTCGTTAAGTAGGTATCAGAATCTGCAAAGTTGTGTTTTACGTTGCATGTGACCTTTAAGAAAAGGTCATGATGACTTCTTACGGAAATGTTAGAGAGTGACTTGTGTAGATTTTCTTTAGACACATAATGTTTCAGAAACCCATAATCTTAAAAAGATAACACTTAGAGATTAACTTTGTACACAATTCATGCTAATAATCCAAAGTTAAGTATTCATTAGCACAAGGAAACTACAGAATTTAAAGAAGATTATATTCCCCACAGAATATCATTTTTAGGACTTACCTATCTAACTATGTTTCAGAATGACTCACACATAAATTTGTACAACTTAGTTAAAAAAAATACATATTATGAACATATCAAACAGTGACATGACAAGACCCTATCATGAATTGATGTATTTTCATCAGACACTGGGGACGGAGGGGTAGCCTAGTGGTTAGGGCGTTCGCTTGTCATGCCAATGACCCAGGTTCGATTCCCCACATGGGTACAATGTGTGAAGCCCATTTCTGTTGTTCCCAGCCGTGATATTGCAGGAATGTTGCTAAAAGCAGTGTAAAACCTCACTCACTCACTCACCCACTCAGCCCTAGTGCTCCACTTTGCCCCGTATAAGACATTTCACTAAGATGCTTTTACAGTGTATGCTATGTCTCCATCATATACTGATACTGGTAACTTGGGTACTCAGATACTCGGGTACACACTGAACTGGACCCACGTATCCACAGGACTACCTGTAGCCTCCCTCATGGTTAGGTCTAAGTTCAGTGATATGTTGTTTGAAGACAGAAGATCTCTTTATCTCCATATAAAAGTCATGAAAATTTGCATTTTTTCTGGGTATGCTCACATTTAAAATGCAAATATTATGGATGACAACTTCTTCTTTATTGTATATCACAACGTTTCTGGGCTGCCCCTTCGTCAGGTGAATTGTCACAATTCACCTGACGAAGGGGCATTGAATAGGAAGGGCAAGGAATAGCCCAGAAACGTTGTGCTATACAATAAAGAAGAAGTTGTCATCCATGATATTTTATGTTTACTTGAACACCAACTTCTAATTGCTCACATTCTTTCTGACTTTTTTATGTTTGAATAAAGAGAAGTTTTAGTCTCATTCAGTGCATGACGGACCAGGATGCTGTTTAATAAAACAACCTTAGCGCTACGAGTCTATGTTAAGGTATGGGAGATATGATCACCTTAGCCCTGAGATCGCTTGGTACAACAACATTCAGATCCTGTTCTATGTGTATTATAATACAATATATTCTGTTAAAACAATTCACTACTGGACATTCTGAATCAAACTCTTGAAACCTCTGGGCCCTTATTCTCGGAACGTTCGTAGTCCTAAGAATTCTTAACTTTGATCGTAGCCAGTGTGTTAAGAATGGGCTTAAGAAGTTCGTAGGGCTACGAACGTTTCGAGAATAGCTAGCCTGGTTTGTATGTTGGTGGTAAATCTTGACCCAACCCGTCACACATCCCGTATCCATTGTCACCAAACCTGACATCACCGTAACTCTCTCTCTCATCACCAACATGACTTTCTCATACTCAAAAACATGAAATCAACATCCAATCATCATGCCACTTCTGAATGGTAACTTGGTACTGACTTTCGGACAAAATAATAGCCATGGTTGAGTGAGCCTTCATCATATTTAGTCAAATCAGAAGGCGAACATAAATGAACTTTGGATACCACGTGTAGCAGAGGAAATAGGGTTAGTTGATATTTGTATATTTTTGCAAGGTCTTTCAACCCAGACTCAAAACAATGTGGCGTGTGATATGGGTCCAGGTCACAGCCTTGCTCCAATTAAGGCTGTACTGAATGCTGAGCCCATGGATGTATAGTAATTCTATCCTTTGAAGAGGCAAGTCTAGATAAGCAGACACGACAAAACGGACCTTAGACTGTTACAGTCAAATCCCGATGAGTCGAATCGCTGGGGACCAAGTAATATATTCGACTTATCGATGATCCAGTCCTAATTCCTCCTCCTAAGCATTTGTTTATCTAATGATTTTCATATCACTAATAGGGACACCTTATCAGTTCCAGTCTGATTAGCACAGACAGTGATTTCCGTAAAATCACTAATCTGCCTTGTGAACTCACCCGTTAATTGGATCATTTTGCTACACCAATCAACTTCTCATTGACTGACTTCGGCTTATGTATACAAGATTGCTGTTGTTTGAATCTCATGGGACCAAATTTCCTTCTCGAGTTATCGTGTGTATTTATGAGACGAATTAGTGTAACCGGTATTCAAATGATGACAACTATAACAGGGACTGCTCGGGACCGACAGGTACTTCGAGTTATGCATAATATTCGAGACACCGGCATTCGACTCATCGGGATTTGACTGTATTTATTATTTTTTAGAAATTATCTTTTAAACTATTAATATTTACCGTAGAGACTTGTGCAAGTCCAGGATGTTCATCAGTAATTGCCGGGGTAAGATAAACAATAGACGAGGCACAGAGTTATCTACAGAGTTACCTAACTTACTTCACACTTCAGCGCCATGGATAATGAAACGTACTTGCTGTTAGCATTGTAAATTATTAAAAGTTGAAACTTACCTTAGTATCTTTGCCAGGCCAGTTCCTAGTTGCCCCAGACCTCCTGTAAAACATAGGCACATGAGGTGAGGTGAAATTGGATTTAACGTCGTGCTTGAGAATATTTCGCTCATATGACGACGTGCATGCGTGTGTGTGTGTGTATGCGGCTGCTTGTACTAGCCCAGACTGAAGCTGGTTTTATAGTGCTAGCCCACTGAGATACCATGCCGCAGTGAAGCATGAATACCCCACTCAGACACATTATACTGACTCCGAGGCGACCAGTCCTTGTTGTACCCATTAATGCCGAGGGCCAGGCAGGGACCAACAAGTACCATATTGGTCTTGTGGTATGACGAGGTCGGGGATCGAACTCGCGACCTTCTGCTCTCCAGGCGGACGCTCTAACCACTACACAACGGAGGCGGTCAGGGGCACATGAAGAATTGAAAAAAGGAAATTGTTGATGTCTGATGTTTATTGGTCTCATTGGTATTTGTTTTATCTATGTTATTTACAGAACAAACATCATGTTATTAAAACATCTGTATTTAAGTTTACATCTAAATGACAAACTATACATCATAATAGTATTTGTATTTTCATATTTTACCTTGTTTTTATCCATATTCCATAACAAATATCAGCTGTATGTTTCCTTAACAGTGCTGACAGAAGGAATCAGACCTGGAATTTCCCCTACCATGTGATTCCCTCACTACTATCCCTATAGTGAGATCCACCCACACTACCCCTAAAGTGTGGTCCACTCACCACCACTACTAAAGCGTGACTCAATAACCACTATCCCTCCAGTGTGACCCACTAACCACCACCCCTACAGTTTGACCCACTAACCACTATCCTATTCGTCCAGTGTGACCCAATAACCTCTATCCCTACAGTGTGACCCACTAACCACCATCCCTACAGTGTGACCCACTAACCACCATCCCTACAGTGTGACCCACTAACCACCATCCCTACAGTGTAACCCACTAACCACCACCCCTACAGTGTGTAACCCACTAACCACCATCCCTACAGTGTGACCCACTAACCACCATCCCTACAGTGTGACCCACTAACCACCACCCCTACAGTGTAACCCACTAACCACCACTAACCCTACCCCAGTGTAACCCACTAACCACCACCCCTCCAGTGTAACCCACTAACCACCACCCCTACAGTGTGTAACCCACTAACCACCACCCCCTACAGTGTAACCCACTAACCACCACCCCTCCAGTGTGTAACCCACTAACCACCACCCCTACAGTGTAACCCACTAACCACCACCCCTACAGTGTAACCCACTAACCACCACCCCTACAGTGTAACCCACTAACCACCACCCACCCACTACAGTGTGACCCACTAACCACCCCCTACAGTGTAACCCACTAACCACCACCCCTACAGTGTGACCCACTAACCACCACCCTACAGTGTAACCCACTAACCACCACCCTCCAGTGTAACCCACTAACCACCACCCCAGTGTAACCCACTAACCACCACCCCTCCAGTGTGACCCACTAACACTCCAGTGTAACCCACTAACCACCACCCCTCCAGTGTGACCCACTAACCCTCCAGTGTAACCCACTAACCACCACCCCTCCAGTGTGACCCACACTAACCCTCCAGTGTAACCCACTAATCACCACCCTACAGTGTGTGACCCACAGTGTAACCCACCACCATCCCTACAGTGTGTAACCCACTAACCACCACCCCTACAGTGTGTCCCACTAACCACCACCCCTCCAGTGTAACCCACTAACCACCACCCCTCCAGTGTAACCCACTAACCACCACCCCTCCAGTGTGACCCACTAACCACCACCCCTCCAGTGTAACCCACTAACCACTGTCCCTACAGTGTAACCCACTAACCACCATCCCTCCAGTGTAACCCACTAACCACCACCCTCCAGTGTGACCCACTAATCACCACCCCTCCAGTGTGACCCACTAACCACCATCCCTCCTGCATGACCCACTAACCAATACCCCAATACAGATCCACTCAACACCACCCCTACAGTGTGACCCACTCAATTACACCCCTACTATGTGCCCACTACACCCTCCTATACCCCTTCACAGTGACCCACTCACCACTATCCTTCAGCATAACCACTACCCCCACCCCTACAGCAGTGTGATCTGCTCACCCACAACCCTCCAGTGTGATCCACTCACCTGTGATGAGGACCCTGGGGGGTGAGTTCTCATCCCCTGCAATGCCATGGAGAGATGACTGGGGCATCAGAGCAGTATAAACCATCCCCGGTTTCCCCGACAATAGACTTCTTGCAATACTTTTACTTAATAGTCCTGACATGATTCCACTTCTTGCTTTGCCAATTTCTCAAAATGTCTGAAATGGAATATTCAGTTTTGAAACTGAAAAACATAATGATTGAATGCAATTGGTTTTTAAAATTTGTCTTGCCATCACTAGTTAGGATGATGTTAATATTCCTGTTAAAGGTCACATGCAACCAAAAAATCAAACATAATTAAAACACAATTATCACTTATTCATGACATATAATATGCATTGCTGATTATGAAAAAACATAAAAACGAAATTATAAGCGTACAATCGCAAATCAAAAGTGCAATATTTTGTACTTGGGTTTACTTCCCTAGAAACGAAGCAGCCGGGATACCGAACCCAGTCAGAGCGAGTGGGTGTGCACTCAAGTGTAACGGCTGGTTCATTCGCAAATGCCCTCACGGCTCATTGTGTGTGTATATATTTAGATGTTGGGTTTTGTAAATACATGCTCATTTTTTGTGTATAACATTTTGCAATCAACAGACATCATAACATGTCATGTGTACAAGTAATTACATAATGTGACAGACCGAACATGGTGTTCATTTTGCAATCAACAGACATCATAACATGTCATGTGTACAAGTATCACACCTGCCTGTCTGTGTAATTACATAATGTGACAGAGACCGAACTCGGGCCATAAATCAATGCGTTTTGTTTATGGTGTATAGCCTGATAGGTGTTAAGTTCAAATTGCATGTGGTCAGTGATTGAAGTTGTGTATTGAATATTGTCATTAGCAGACAGGCAGACAGACACATAGGTGCCAATAAAACAGACATTGAGTTTTGTCTGTGACAACGACATATCTATATCACAGTTAGAAATTCTGTCGACGCTAAATAATGACATTGATTTTAAGTATCGAACTGAGAAAGTGACTCGGTAAGAAGAACGTGTGGTGAAATAGACAAATGAAATTATATAAACAGTTAAATCGGTAATCTACTGTCATAACATATAAAAAGCTTGCGCCTGTGAAATATCAACAAAACATTAGAAAAATAGCTCACACCAAAGCCTTCACCGAGTATTCACCGGACAACCCCCTTACAAGCTTGTGAACCTATTTCACTGCGCATGTGCTATGAGTAAAGCGCAGCCAACTGTTGAAACCACTTTTCCCCAAGCTGGGGAAAATTAGTGAATCGTTTGAACTCTGATTTCGCGCGGGTTTTTTCATCGTGTTATTTTTCAACTTTATAAGTTGAATTTGCATTTTTGGTGATTTGTTTCGGTAAGTCCATACCGAAAGGTATCAGAATCTGCAAAGTTGTGTTTTACGTTGCATGTGACCTTTAAAATCAATCTTAAAATCAAAATGATATATGTTTCAATTCAAACGCAATGAACATATACTTTGAAGCAAATGTAGCTGACTTATTTATTTGTTCTAATCTTAAAAAGATATCATAAGCTGATAGACAAAACTAGAAGCAGACAGACATAAATAGATTGCATCACATAAAAACAACAAAATAATTGGTTTTACATGCCATATAGGTGTGAACCTTCACACCTTGACCTACAAAACCTAAGATTGGGAGAATTCCCATTCATAAATTTCAAGAGTCCTTACAGGAAATATGAGTTTCTTGTAAAGCAACGATATCAGTGTGTGGTGAGGTGTGTTGTGTTGTGGTGTGGTGTAGTGTTAGATTTACTAATTACTATGTTTCCAGGAACTAACATTTCTTGCCAAGAAATTAGTGCAATGAATATTACTCTGCATCCCTTGTGATACAATAATAATATTCTCTGTGTCCATTCCATTCATTGGCACCATAATGCATGAGCTAACAAATTATTTGTTACTAAACAAGCTAATGTACTTACTAGCTTAAACAAAGTGTTTATTTTTCATTTGCTAACATTATCATGATTTTCTTATATTGGAAGTTTAAATGTTCTTTTTTCATCTTTCCAACCACCTGATACAACTAATTCAGAAGGGTTGTCAGATCTTCATGACCAGACATTTTATCAAAGTAACTTTTGCACTATAACAGTTGTAATTTATCACACTTTCACAAAGGCTTATGATATTAGTACTAAAACTATTCTTTGCATTACTTTGGAACTGGTCCCTGAGCAAAACAGGAATTCATGTCTTGTAACCAAACTAATACACCCAAACATACAGAAAATATTGACAGAGGGGAATGGTAAGAGTGATGATGATGATGATGATGATGATGATGATGATGAAATGCCCCACAAAAATCCTTGCTCCAGTTACTGATGAATGAAATACTCTGTGCATCAGGTGATCTCAAATGAGGTCAACCATGAATACATTTTCATCCTAAGGGCAAAAGAGTGACCTAGTTTTTGGACACTCAATGCAGCAAACCAGTTAATTCACTGCACTGTCGGGACACTTCCAACAGCAGTTTCACCCTATGTTATACTAGGAGACTTTAGATTCTGGTCCTAAATCACAACAAGGGAAAACTGATCAAATGAAAACCAAAGAATATCAGTCAAAACAATTTTCCCCCAAACAGTTGTTTGCTATTCTAATTTAAGGTCAGATATAAAATTTGTAATTCTTCTCTTTACCTGTTTACAGATATATATGTATCTCATATACAATCCAATATAATGAAGTCAATTCATAAGAATACAAAGAGTGACTCTACTTAAAAGCCTGAATATCAAGTACAGCTAGGGCTGTAAAATACTTCTATGAAGTTCTTTGAGGTAAAGGATAATGACTCAGGGTTTTTTAGAAATTGCTGAACTGGGTCACAACACCATTAATGTCACATTGAGCCAATCTATTGAAGAAAATGCTATCAATGCAATGTGACCACAATGCATAAATGTGCCATGTTGCCAATAACAACCCCCCAGGGCAGGAAGCTAGATCCACACACAATGAGTGTTTTTATTATTACTCCAACAGAGAAGGCCCCAAGGTAGACATAGTGTTCAAGAGGGTAATATGTGGGCCATGCATGTATTTGAATACAAAATGAAGTTACTATCAAAAATGTTTTTACACTGTTGTCTGAAACCAGAGACATATGGTCTCTGTTGAATTAACTTGAAACAGATATGGTTGACAAATAATCACTTTTTGTAAATACTTGAAGATTTATGATGCTAAGTTTTAAGTTACTGATCACTGAAAAGATTTAATATAAATGATTTGATTGGTTTGAAACCAAAATGATATAATATAACAATTAATGAATAATCACAAAAGTATTATCACTATTATTGCAGCAGCAACAGTACTTAGTAGTAGTAGTAGTAGTAGTAGTAGTAGTAGTAGTAGTAGTAGTAGTGGTTATTTAGAACTGTATCACGTGTACGTGATGCACACGGGTTCTATTTCATTGACAATCCAGATCATATGTTGGAATGGGCCAAACTGTCTGAGAAGCCGAAACATGAATGATGACTTACTTGGCGGAGTCTATTACTGAAGTAAACAAGATAAGATACAGCCTTGACGTATAGGATGTGTTTACAAGTGGCCATCACTGAATCCGGGTCTCGAAATTATGATACACATGACGCAAAATCAAAAGTATTGCGCATTCTTTTCAAAGATCACATTACAATAATTACAAATTGAGTGACATAAGACGATTCACTTGAACAATTGTCAATACTGATCATAAAAATGTAACAATTTTCGGACAGGCTGTATTGCGCAATGAAATACATACTCACACTTTGAATGTATCTATAGACCGGGAGGCAAATTCTGATCTATTTCCAGAAGTGGTGTTAATATGTTTTCAAGTTCCCTTGTTTATCTATTTTTTTTCATTTTCCACAGTCCCCACAATCGGCCTAAGTGCAATCGAAAAGATAGTTGTTTCATGAACCATTAATCCCGAATCGATGCGCTTCAATTGTTGCATATGATGCGGAAGGATTGTCAGCGTCCGTGTGATCTGGGCCAAGAATGTATCATACGATACATGTCTGTACACTGGACAAAAACCTCGCTTCTCCTTACACACACCTCTCAGTGAACCAGGTTTGAATATCAAGTCATGACGACAATTCTTGCTTTCAAATACTTACAGAAAATGTAGACAGGATTGGTTTTCCTTCTATCGACTTCCACGAACTCAATGTAGTGCGCAAGTTAATGTTGACAACCGTGACTTACCGCGAGCATTGTCGTGCCAAAGTAGCCAATCAGATGGAGGCAACTGAAGGTGTGGTAGCTATCCGTCATTTCATTGGTCCTCGAAATAGACGGCCTTGCCCTTCATGCGCATGCCGGGGCCATTGAGTGTATGACGAAACCTCTGCTCATGTACAACATGATCAACACCTTGAAACGTTCTAAACTGGAACATCGTTCTCCAGCTTGGTGTAGTTAATAACATGGATATCACGTTACTCTATAAGTCACTGGTCATATGTGACCAAGTGGGGAGGCAAATCTCTCCACTCAGATCAACAATAACACTTGTAACGCATATGACATGTCCAGAGCTTTCCTGTTCTATCCAAATTTAGTTGCGATTTGAATCTCTCACTTATTGTTAATTGTTTTATCGACATTCTCGAAGTTGGTGAGTCAGTAATGAAGCATATATGACTTTATGGTTAACTACTTCGTGTTCAATTAATTGTATATCTCTCTGGATGGATGGATCGATCGAACGGACATACATTGTCTACTAGTATATGAATAGATCTACTATGCTTGTGATAAATCGATCACAACAACATCAAGCAATGCAACGCGGTCTCGTGTCAGATCGCTCTAGGAAGCGGATTTGCAGATATGATAACATTGTTGCGTAATCTCGCCGAGGAAATCAGACGAGGCTTATCCGTAAATACGAACGTATGGTTTGACATTCATTTTTATGAAGGTGCACTATAATCATGGCGGGCCCCATAAAGAAAACTTAGCGCTAAGACGATGGTAGACTAACAACTAGTCTCTGAAATGAACATATTTTGCAGAAAATAAAAGTTTTTACATTAAAATCATAAATACAATAAAAAGGAGCCCAGAGACTTTCTTCATTTCCTGAAGCTGTGGAAATCTAGACTTGCGTGGGCTTTCTTGGATATATTTGCTTCAATGTCTGTATGGCAGACTAAGACGATGGCAGCTCCGATTAATCAACTTATCTTATATATGAAAACCAAGCACTAATCTCTCGGCCACTTTGTTGATAGGGGCTCGTGACTGGTTTTCAGTTGTAACCCAGTGAGTGAGAATAGTTTTACTCCGATTTGAGCAATATTCTAGCAATATCACGACGGGGGACACCAGGAATGGGCATCACACACTGTACCCATGTACGTGGGGGAATCGAACCCGGGTCTTCGGCGAAGGAACGTTTTTACAACTAGGCTACCCCACCGCCCCGCTTGTAACTTAATCAAGGCGGAAACGAACCTTATATGAGTGCCCTTTCATGTAACATTTTGTCAGAGCGACCTATTCATTACAACCTTTGTCTTAATAAGCTTTTTCAAGAGGCGATAATTAGTAAATTACCATTCATCCGTCACACATACCGATCCCTTCCGTAAAGGCATATCTACATAATCAACGTTACCAGCGTGTGGAACGTAACGTATTTTGAGAGGCATTTATAGAAGTTAGAGCAGTAAGGAAGGATAACAATACATGTATATGAATGAACAATGAACAATGAATGTGAATATGAATATGAGAGTATAGTTATTGTTAACTGGCTTCCCGTTGCTGTACTGCAGTCCTGATCTTTTGGGATATGATCCTAGCATTTTGTGATATGTATGTTTTAAAATCACTATTTATATTTTAATGCTTTTATGGAAGACACTCGTGTCTCGTAGGCCTTATGGCCGGATATTGCATATCATGTTTTGTATTATGTATGTTACCGTGTACTATGCAATATGTGACATGCTAATAAAACAATCTTCTTCTTCTTCCTAATCTCCATTGTACTGTACACACACACACACACACACACACACACACACACATATCCATATATATATCCATCTCTATGCTTATTCTGTTCAACCTTGCATGATCACAATGCAGTATGGATCAGCCATCTGTGAAACATGTAATTTCAGTTGTATCAACGCAGTCCAGAACAAGGCTATGCGATTTTTCCTTGGATTGAGAAAATATACACCGAATGATGCTGTATCTGGAGACATGGGGTGGATCCCTCCAACAGTAAGACATGGGAAACTATATCAAAGTTCTACAAACGTTGCAGCTCCCTCCTACAACATCGATTAGCAAGAAATGGATTTATGTGGGCCAACAGACACGCAGTAAACAACAAGAGGAGCTGGGATTTTCTCAGAGTACACTCGACTAGTATAAACAACTGGGTCTATCTGATTTTGTCTCCCCTGATAATAAATATCACTATCGTAACATTGGAGTAAAAGTGAGAGAAACTGTATTTCAGCGTGTAAAGGAGTGAGTAAGTGGGTTTTACGCCGCTTTTAGCAACATTCCAGCAATATCAGGGCGGGGGACACCAGAAATGGGCTTCACACTTTGTACCCAAGTGGGGAATAGAACCCGGGTCTTTGGGGTGACGAGCAAACGCTTTAACCACTAGGCTACCCCACCGCCCCGCGCTTAAAGGAGGAATGGAGAATTTCAATAGATCAAGTAAACAGTCGAACCGGTAACGGAGGCAACAAACCACGCCTATACAATCAGCTGAAGAGCGATTACGAGGTTGCATATTTTAATCAGATTCCTATGTCTAAGTCAAACCGACGTTCTCAAGCAGTATTTCGATGCGGACTAGCTCCTGTACGAGTTGAGACCGGGCGATACACAAACCTACCTATCAACGAGAGAATGTTCTTTTATTGTGATACATGTGTGGAAGGTGAAGCCCATGTCTTATTGCACTGCCCAGTGTAGACTAACAAGTAGTCTCTGAAATGAACATATTTTACTGCAAAAGTTCTATGCCAGACTATACTGTATAGTGATGTTAGACAGGTTTTGTTAGATAAATGCAATGAAGTGTAGTGTGGTTTTAAATATGAATGTGATATTGTGAAGGTGTTTTATCCTGGCCAGTCCCAGTGTTGTTACAAGGCACTCTTACAGCTGCGTAGGAATATTACATGTAAACCTTAATGTTTATTTTTAATTTGCATATATGTTGTATAGAATTTTATTCACTGTAATGTACATGTTTTAAAATATGGTTTATACTACTTTTATGCATATTTTGTCTCTCATAACTCCAACAGGAGTGGCTCATTTTATATTATGTTATTTTATAGCATTTTATATGTACATTTTAATTTGGAGGCGAGACGTAAATAAACTGTCTGTATGCTTGATAACGGCATTTGAGCCCGTACCGAAACATGGCTCTCACTGTAATAAAGTTGTTCATCCATGATATATTGTTATCCTTCACGTGTGGAACGTTGGTTGTATATTATATTCCACAAACACAGAAGTGTTCGTCTGATTCAGGACCATTTGTTTTAAACATTTATTTGTTTTCTTCTTATAGAACTACTCGTTATAGCATAGAACAACACCAAATTAGGCAGCATGTAAGGCCATATTGTGGGTACATTATTGACACTTTCGGGAAAAGCTTTTCTAGGATTGCATAATAAGACGGTTCTAATAGAGAGAAAAAACATCTTGGGTCACAGACTTTACTCATAAATACAGTTTATTTTCATGATGTTCGAAGAATCACACATTTACACTCATTTTATAAATTATTTTGGCAAGATCATCGAGGCAAAGCGTGCTTCACAGGAACAAGTGTACGTATTTAGAACTGTTAATTTTCCTTTACTTTTAGAAAATAATATTTCTATTGAGGGCTGAAAAATGTTTACACTACCACATTCTATATTTGAAAATAGTTCTGTACAGAAAATAAAAAGCAAATCGATAAATGGGCATTGACTATAACATACGTTCTTTCTTATGCTATATTTAGGATTCTTCAGAAAAGAGTATATATACAAATTCTAGAACGGTTTGGTTCATCCGGGATTCGAAAAACACTCTCTGGGTGAGGCACCTAATCGACAGCACAGTCAGCTAACCCTCTCAGTCACGGATACTACGACACAGAGTGAGTGGGTTTTACGAGATCACGTATTTTTTGTACCCTTCTGATAACTTCCCGTGAAGATCTGTGTTGCAACATTTGTCTTCAGCAACCCATGCTTGTCGTAAGAGGCGACTAACGGGATCAGGCTCGCTGACTTGGTTGACACGTCATCATATCCCAATTGCGTAGATCGATGTTCACGCTGTTGATCCCCATATGACAAAGGGAGATATTTACAGACCGCCGCCATATAGCTGATATATTGCTGAGCGCGGCGTAAAACTCAACTCACTCACTTCTGATAACTATTTCAGAACTTGAATGTGTTACATTCCTGAGAAAGTGTTAGCATAAATATAACATTTGCTCCATGTGGAAACTTATAGAAAGCCATTGTGTATTCTACCCATGAAGATCCGGGTTAACCTGTGTGAACAAGCTGTTTTCATAGCCGCAGGCAGAACAGAAAGCCCCGAACCGAGGCCTTTCTAACCTGAATATCAAGACCTTGACCTGAATTTTGACCTAATCGGTATCGCAAAAGAATGCAGGGTTTTATTATACGCGTAATCCTATTCCGATAATCCGTTTGAGCTGTTGACGCCAATTACTCCCCTTCACAAGCTATCCTGAAAATGTACACGTCAGTGGTAAAGCTGTTGATACGTCAAAACTGAAACATATAACGTTAGGGATGAACAACTTGTTGATAGGTCAGTGAGCAGGGCACAGGTTAGTCTGTCTCACAGTCCCTGAACCACATTAATTTCCCTACTGCCAAGCCCTCTCTGCGCTGCTAAAGCCCTAAATAAAGCAAGTCTAGATTTCCTCAGGTTCTGAATCTCTGGTCTCCCTAGGGCTCCTTTTCAATATAAATGGGCTTGTTTGTTACTATCAAAATTATATATATTCAGAGACTAAGCCTTAGTCTAGGCACAGGTTTACTTAATAGCTAACACGTTTCATCACCTTCTTTACTAGGGCTGTAACGATGCATCGAACTATCGATGACTTGCAATTGTTGAGTATCCGATAACAATTAATCGATGGTAGAAAAGAAACCTATCGATGCATCGATAGTATGTGTTACTATCGATAGTTTAGTAATTGACTTCCGTTGATAAATGCGCAGCGTAAAATACAGGATGTTTGGGTGCAGTCTTGCAACTTCATTGAGTTTATGTTTTAACTGTTTACTTGATCTCGGTTTCAAGTCTCTTGTCAGTTATTAAAAGAGAGTGGAACTACTTCAGCTTGTTTTTATTTCATATAAACTATACATTCATTTGGGAAATTACTTCAAATGAAACAATTCAAGGAAAAAACTATTGCTGGTTGCAATAGTTATGTTGCAATAGACTATCGCAGTCGTAATAGTTGTTTCCCCCTCAATAGTCACCCTCATTCGTTACTGTTACAACGTTGCAGGCTTAAGGTCTGGGTGCCATTGTGCCTATAGTTAGTGAGTGAGTTTGGTTTTGTAGCAATATTCCACAACCGGCGCAGAAATGAGCTTCACACATACCTTAAGTCGGCTGTGCTAACCATTGTGTGCCCCTGAGACTACCTTAAGTCTGTGCTAATGTGTGGGAGTTACGGTCACCTTAGCGCTAAGATCGCTTTGTACAACGACACCCTGGTCATCTCTGAACTACGATGCTGCTACATGGCGAGCAGAATCTTCCCATTAATCAACTCAGAATAGAGCGAGGAATTTTTACAGGACTTTACTTTAATCATTTTACTCCCGCTTCTTACTCCTTCAGCGTTTTGCTTGTAGTGAGTGAGTAAATACATTTACGTCGCTTTTAGCAATATCCAGCAATACCACGACGAGGAACGCAGAAATGGGCTTCATGCACTGTGCCCAGTGTGGGGAATCGAACCTTTGGCGTGACGAGCGAAGGCTTTAAATTAACCACAAGGCTACCCAACCAACCCGTTGTATTACATGAAATATATAAATAAAATGACTTCATCTAAGGAAGTTACCATAGAGTGAACTGGGTCCGTGAACCGTCCTACCTACATCCAAGACAACGGTGGGATAATACTCTGCCAATACAGAACATTCGAAAGTGTAATAGAAGTGGAACCATGCATGTATTTTAACTTGCCTCCCGAGAATACATAGACGTGGCATAGCCAGCCTAAAATTGAGGATCATCCTATACGAGTTAAGACTTGACGACATACACGTGTCTCTGAATGATTGAAATAATCTAATTCTTCCAGTTTTACAGAAGACGAATGATTGTATTGTAAGGCATTTGCTTTCATTTCGACAAACTGCCCTGTCAGAATATTTTTCCACCAAACAATAATTTAACAGGAGAAAATGTATCAGACAAAATCAAACACTCAGACATACATACCAACTCGTACATTAGATAGACAAGACAATAGGTAAACACGATATGAACACAAACACAGTTTACCACCGGAATTACACATTACACATAGCAGAATGTATGAAAGGTATATAGATATATAAATAGATATATATTCAGCATGAGAGATGCATGTGTCAAGTCAAATAATTGCAGCAAATATAACATCATTTGTTTGATATTACACGGTAATTTCTATCGCATCTCAGTTGTAAAAGTATTACATCCAATGCAAGGTGTTTATGGAAGTGACCATGGAATACCCATTAGGTGCTGAGATCACACTTTGTTAATTTCGTGAAAATGTCTTCTAATGTCGTTACGCTGTGTGTTGCAAAATTGCATTTATAAGATTCAACAGGAAAAGACACAAACTGCCACACGTTTGTCACAAGTACATTCTTCAAAGCACTTCAACCCTAAGCTGGACCCGTCTCGCATATCGCAATATAGCTTTGTCGAACGTTAGCGTTGACGCAAAGGGAGCTGAACCAGCTTATTACAACCCCACATGACAAAGGGAGGTAACTCCACTCTGCAGGGGAGACAACTCCAACAAACAACTTAAAGGGCCTCTCTTTTCACTGTCTCTGTCTCTGTTTCTGCGTATTTAGCATCATCCACTGGGTTGTATTGTGGGATGAGCTTCTCGAACATCACACGGCACATTGACTCCAGGTCATATTGATGGCTCCATCCCCAGTCCTGGCGAGCGTTGGTGTCATCCAAAACTTGGGGCCAGGAATCAGCTAAAACACACACACTAATGTATTCTCAATGGTGTCAACCTCAGCACGTCCAACATTAGCCTGTTTCTGAAGAATGACAGGCAGGTACGTGTTATTTGAATATGGTTATAATTTTACATCAAATGTATCAACAGTCTTCCATGGTATTAGCTTCAGCTGTCAATTTTTTAACGGCATTTAGAAGTGATACACATTAAAGTCGAGAATTTATGGATTGAACTTCTATATTTTCTTACGCCTTCATCGGGTGAATGATACTCCGAAACGTTGTGTCAAAATAAAGAAGTTAACATCCATAAATTCTCGCCTTTTCAGCTTTCAAAATTATATATAATTATCGATGTATGGCCATTGGACACAGATAGAATTGCATCCATAATCGGAATTGTACACGTGCATCCCTTTCGAAGACTGCCCAACTCACTAACTCTAGGAGAAGACATGTAAGGCAATACTAACCAATACACTGCCTCCCCACCCTCTCTTTCATCATTGTCAGTGTAGAAGGCATGGAAGGCACTACCAACCAACTGAATGCTTAACTCACTAACTGTAGAAGCCATTCAAGGTCATACTAACCAATAGCCTGCCTCTCATCTGGGGAGTAGGTGACTTCCAACTCAGGGACGTATTTTCTCACTTCTTCTGCAATCTCCCTTGGCGTGAAGCTCATGGCCGTCACATTGTAAGTCCGCATGGACAGCTTCTCGCTGGTCACCTCCATGAAGTTGACCGTTGACCGGAGGGTGTCATCGATGTACATCATTGGGAGCCGGGTGTCTGGTCCCAGGAAACAGCGGTGGTGTCCGGTCTTCAGGGCATCGTGGAATATCTCCACTGCATAATCTGCCATAAACGGTATAACTATTATAAACTTTACACTACATTTTACGAAAAAATACAAAGCAAACATTGTTCAGTTATCTCCACCTTTACTAACAAGTTGTCACACGTTTATCATCAATACTCAGTGGTAGACTGCAGTTCCAGGTTCATGGGGACGGTGGGGTAACCTAGCGGTTCAAGTGTTGGCCCGTCACGCCCAACACCTAGGTTCGATTCTCCACATGGGTACAGCGTGTGATGACTATTTCTGGTGTCTCCTGCCGTGATATTGCTGGAATATTGCTAAAAGCGGCGTAAAACTAGACTCACTCCAGGATCATGAGAGTCGACCGAAGATTCAAGGGTCAGTTTGATACTTCTCAAGACGGCTTTCAACATTACTAATAATCCCCTACCTGGAGAGAATATGATTTACATATCCATCAAACAATTCAAGAGTTTTATATTGATAAATACCAGACATGAAGACAGTCACAGACATACCCGTGGTGCCACCGCCTGGCTTGGTGTCAGCCGAGATAACTCCTGGGAATCGGAGACTGCGGAAGTCCAGGCCAAACCTCTGGTTGTAATACTACACAGAAACAGATGTTCCAAATTAACAAGGATGCCAAGGGGCACACGTCTTGGAATTAATGTTAAAAGGTTCATTTTCAGAGATACATGATTCATGGACTGTGGCAGCAACTGTAATGATGCAATGGCAACCTTCAACGATCACGGTGTAGTTCTATCAATAGTCCACGCGAAATCCCTGGTTGTAATACAACACAGAAACAGTGGAGATAATTAAGAGTGAGTGAGTGAGTGAGTGAGTATGCCAATATTCCCGCAATATCACGGCTGGGGACACCAGAAATGGGCTTCACACATTGTACCCATGTGGGGAATCACTAGGCTACCCCACCGCCCCCGGGTCTTCGGCGTGACGAGCCAACGCTTTAACCACAATAAATAAGGCTACAGTCAACAAGCTCATTAGATAATTTCAAATACTTCGTGTGGTGTTGCTAAAACAGCACAGATATGGTACCCAATTGCGACGTTGCCATCGCCTCACGTTCCTAGCCTATAACATCGACGATGTTGACGGGTTAATGACATTAGAACATTAATTTATATTTTCCTAAACGTAGGAAGATTTAAGATTTTCATTGTCCTTGCAATGAACTTCATTTTATTGAGTTATCAAATAGAAACATCCAAACCCATTTCATAACTAAAAGGAATATCTGATGAAATCAGAGTCCGTTGTACTGTTTCGAGGAGGCGGTGTGGTAGCCTAGTGGACAAAGCGAAGATTCGATTCCACAAATGGGTACAGTGTGTGAAGCCCATTTCTGGTGCCCCGCCGGGATATTGCTTGAATATTGCTAAAAGCGGCGTAAAACCATACTCACTCACTCACTGTTTCGAGAATTTCACAAACACGAAAAAAATTTCATTCATTTGAAGAATTACAGTTTAACATTTCCAGGATGGATCTAAGTAATAAGTGTTTATTCACAATGATAAGATGGATAGGATGTAAGTAGAAATACTGACAGACTCTAATCATTGATATGCAAACATTATGAAATATTTCTTCCCTCTTGAAGTTCAGTTGACAACTTGCGGCTGAATATTGTTTCTCAGCAAGGTTCCATGTCAAGGTAAACCTCTGCTGAGGTAATGTCATTGTAGGGTTTCGATGGAGAACCTCATGCTTACCTCGCCCATGAGCTCCGCATGCACCTTGGATACTCCGTAAATAGTCCGGGGACGCTGGATGGTGAGATCAGGGGTCGGGTTCCGTGGGGAGTCGGGGCCAAATGCACCTTTAAGAACAAACATAGCCCTAGAGTCTCTTGCAGAATTGAAAGTCATACATACAGCCCGAAACAGTCACATACCGGAACTGCAGGGTCGGCAAGTAACCAAATTGTAACATTCAAAAAGGTTCAAGGAGGATGAAAGTTTGACATGTCCTTCACGTTTCTATCATAAAATTAAATATTCATATTTTTACCGAGCCCTGAATGTTATTACTTTGATGAAACATCTTTTGATAAAGAGTCTTACGAGGCTCATGATGTCTTCGTATAAAGAACTAGCTCGGCTGTACCTCAAAAGTAACATGAAATATGGACACCAAAAGTTAGAACTGAGGCATGGTTTTGACCGATTTCTTCCTTAGTTGACGTATTGGTCCAATACGTGGCGTTATTTGATATGTCATTTATACCCAGCTGTTTGTTCTAACAATTAGTGTGGTGATGCTTACACGTCATTTGAGACCTTTAAACAACTACAAACCTTTCATGCATTACAGTGAGTGAGCGAGTGAGTATGGTTTTACGCCGCTTTTAGCAATACTCCAGCAATATCACGGCGGGGGACACCAGAAATGGTTTACACATTGTACCCATGTGGGGAATAAAACCGTGTCTACGGCGTGACGAGCCAACGCTTTAACCACTAGGCTACCCCACCGTCCCCATGCATTACAGATTCACTTTGTATGACAGCGGGATGCACATGCATAGGGAAGTCAGTTGGCCACGCATGATTTTTATCAGACTCTTACCAATTGTGCTTGGAATGAACAGTTTGAGCCTGTATTGTTTGGAGACCTCGAGGACATTGTGGAGGCCCTCAATGTTGACTTGCATAGCCAGGGGCACATTCTGCTCCCCGATGGCGCTCAGCAGGGCCGCAAAGTGTATCAGCCAATCCACCTCGTACTTGACAACAATGTCGCGAAGACCTTTGAAGTTCCGGACATCGACGTAGTGGAAGGGTCCTGTAGAAACAATAGTTCAAGAACAATAGTAGTTGTCTGAACAATGTTTCAATAGCTCAAGAACAATAGTAGTTGTCTGAACAATGTTTCAATAGCTCAAGAACAATAGTAGTTGTCTGAACAATGTTTCAATAGCTCAAGAACAATAGTATGAACAAGGTTTCAATAGCTCTAGAACAATAGTAGTTGTCTGAACAATGTTTCAATAGCTCAAGAACAATAGTAGTTGTCTGAACAATGTTTCAATAGCTCAAGAACAATAGTAGTTGTCTGAACAATGTTTCAATAGCTCAAGAACAATAGTAGTTGTCTGAACAATGTTTCAATAGCTCAAGAACAATAGTAGTTGTCTGAACAATGTTTCAATAGCTCAAGAACAATAGTAGTTGTCTGAACAATGTTTCAATAGCTCAAGAACTATAGTAGTTGTCTGAACAATGTTTCAATAGCTCAAGAACTATAGTAGTTGTCTGAACAATGTTTCAATAGCTCAAGAACAATAGTAGTTGTCTGAACAATGTTTCAATAGCTCAAGAACTATAGTAGTTGTCTGAATAGCTCAATGTTTCAATAGCTCAAGAACTAATAGTAGTTGTCTGAACAATGTTTCAATAGCTCAAGAACAATAGTATAATAGCTCAAGAACAATAGTAGTTGTCTGAACAATGTTTCAATAGCTCAAGAACAATAGTAGTTGTCTGAACAATGTTTCAATAGCTCAAGAACAATAGTAGTTGTCTGAACAATGTTTCAATAGCTCAAGAACAATAGTAGTTGTCTGAACAATGTTTCAATAGCTCAAGAACAATAGTAGTTGTCTGAACAATGTTTCAAGCTCAAGTAGTTGTCTGAACAATGTTTCAATAGCTCAAGAACAATAGTAGTTGTCTGAACAATGTTTCAATAGCTCAAGAACAATAGTAGTTGTCTGAACAATGTTTCAATAGCTCAAGAACAATAGTAGTTGTCTGAACAATGTTTCAATAGCTCAAGAACAATAGTAGTTGTCTGAACAATGTTTCAATAGCTCAAGAACAATAGTAGTTGTCTTGAACAATGTTTCAATAGCTCAAGAACAATAGTAGTTGTCTGAACAATGTTTCAATAGCTCAAGAACAATAGTAGTTGTCTGAACAATGTTTCAATAGTTTAAGAAGAGTGTGTAATGTGTGGATGTCTGGATTGTCTGGTAGTGACACGATTATTTACAGACCATCGCCATGCAGCAGGAATATTGATGTGCAGCGTTAAACAAGAAACAAAGAAAACCAAAACTTCCATACAGAAGTGGTGCTACAATTACGACGAGCTCTCTTATATCTAACTTTGACGAGAGTTTCCCTCGCTAATTGGACGGCGTTTCTAAACAATGGTAGCCACGGTTTTGATTAGAAAAGTATGTAGATGTAATATACTAAAAGACGATCTACGACGACTATGCACGTGCTTACCGCTTTTGAGAACATCTTTGGGAGCCTTGTAGATGTCTGTGAGAACAACGTTGTCATGCCCGTACCTCTCTCTGAAACATAAGAATTATTGTACATCAATTCCTCATTTGTACTGGATTAAAAGCTCCATCTAAACCTGCACATAAAGACATTTATAGCAAAACCCATAGTTTTCCCTTTGATCACTTCTAAATGTCTTTGTACAAGATTTTATGCATTTAACAGCACAATTGTCATTTCGTATTACCCCCTTATTTCAATCATATCAGTGACATTTGATAGCATTTTTTAATTTTTTTAATCCAGCCTCAAAACATAGATAAGATGGCCAATTATTCCAGTGTACTATAACAATATAGCAGATTAACCCATTTGATTATAGTAGATGGAGCAAACAGTCGGCATTGCGTCACTTAGTCTCAATCCATGGATGGTTTATTTCTTACTTAAAGCATCATGGACAATGAAAGGTACTTGCTTTTAACATTGTAATATTTAATAAGCCTACCTTAGTACCTTTGCCAGGCCAGTTCCTAGCTGCCCCAGACCTCCTGTAAAACATAGATAACAGAACAATGTTAGTGGGGAACCTTGATATGTATTGAAAATACAATGTTTATTGAATAATTGGTATGTGTTTTATTTGTGTTGTTATCAAACGATCTTGAACCACGACTGAATGATATCGCGCCCAGTTCGGAAGTGGCTGTCTGGCCCTGACTCCACAGGTCAACAGGTTGCCATAGCTGGAATACCGCTGACTGCGGCATAAAACAACATAAACTCACTGACTCAAAATTAATATAGCCTGATCCCAATCAATTACTCGCCCACTAAAGTGATATGAATATGTATGGTAAGAGGCAGATACACCGAAAAGTCACTCAATGCAATAAACAAGAAGTTGATATCCGTAGAGATTTAATCTTCGTTATTGACAACCATCCATAAAGCGTGATACTAACAACTAACCGCACAGTGTGATTCCAAACGCTCACCTGTGATGAGGATTCTTGGAGCTTTCTCTCTCGCGAATCCATTAGATGCCGCCATTGGTTTCCAAGATATCACGCTTTTTGCTATACACGCTTCCCAGATAGTTCTGTATTGATGAAGGTTCCCTCACAAAACCTGATCGGATCGGTTTCATGGCCTAATCGGATAGAATTGCGGGAATGAATTTTAATTCACCTATTCGGACATCTGTGGCCGTATGCAAGTCCGGGCGTAAGTAAAATGTCCGCCCGGACGTAACGTTAAACCGGTATGCACATATTATATTAGACGTAGTTAAAGTTACGCCAGTCGTAGCGCTCTATCTTTACGCCACCTACCCAGCAGGCGTAAGCCAGGCGTACCTTGTAATGGCGGCACTGTGGCCGTATGCACATGTTGGGCGTAGCTCACGTCAGGCGTAACACACTACGTCGGGCTTAGCAGCGCCCTCCTCTTACACGTCATGCACAACGTCGGTTAAGCCTAGGCGTTACTACGCCCGGCTTAACGGATTTACGTCAAGGCGCAGTGTGCTATTTTTAGATTTTCGAACGTTTTTAAACCACCGGTAAAAGGCGCGAAACAACTTCGCGGTACATCATGGAAAGCCAAAGAAAACCCAACTTTACCGATGGATCCTGATGGAGAAATAACATGGACTTTCAAAATTGGCTTCACCATAAATGTCGCCATATTTGACACATTACGAAATCACGATTCACAGCGTTATTTGGTGTATGTTTTCAAATGTTCAAATCGGATAATTACTACTCAGATGTATTGAATTTCGTGCACCGATTTCTGCTACGATATTTTTAATTTGGCATCTTTACAGAAAGTGTGAGTGAAGAAAATACAGCCTGATATCTGAACGACATAAGTGTATATGAATTGGGTTTATGTGCTAATGCATAACGTTAGACGCTCAACATTAAAAATGACTCGCAATAAGTGTCAAAAATGGATTTTCTTCTATGACGTCAACTGACGACAGAGAGGTCATACACGTATAAAAGATAAGGGGGCATAACTCCGTTATGCTTAACACTAGGTCAACGTAACTCAGATCAATTGGAGAAAAGTTGTTGTGGATACTTACGCTATATTTTCGTTATGTTGTGTTCACGGTGAACCAACCTATTCCATTACAGATTTCCCCAATGTGAGCGGATACGTTTTGGTAGTTTCACAATTTATAAGAAAAGATGGCAATGTACTACTTGAGATGGCAGAATAGCGATTTGGATGGCCCTATCCGATATGTAAGTTAGTTCTTAGATTCCCGTATTCTCATGTAGATGTATTTTGACTACTTTTGCATCATTATTAATGGAGTACTAGCCATATCTTCAAATGTAATGAAATTACTGATAATAATACTACATTTTAGTTGACGTCATTGCTTGTTATATGCATTTTGCGAAGTCGGAAAAAGACGACATTGGTTTTGCTGATTAGTATATATCTTACCTAAATTCCATTTATTGTATGAAAGGTCTCGGCTTCTACGTCAGAATTTAACACTCTTTAGACAAAACATAAAATGACTGATTTTTCCATTTAAATAGTGTCCTGAATATATCAACAATTAGACGGTTTGACTGTGTATCTTATTGTGAGCAACACGCGCACCTGTTTGGCATCAAATTAACGTAAATGATTTCTGCGTGATTTTGCGTCAGTCATGGAGTCACGCTGCACGGAAACTTCGACAATTTCTTATGAAATATCAAATGATTGCATTGTATCTGTTTTTAATTTCCCATTTCTTGCTACGATACTCTTTCCATGCATATTCTAAAGCTATTGGGCCATTGCAAGCAATGAATAGACGGCTGCATGTCGGAAAATTTCAGAAAATGCTACGTAGTGTAAAATCGGAATTTTTCTTTCTTTACAAGCGCAGCCTTTCGAACACAGCGTTCGTTTGGACTTTTCACACCCAGACAGTTGATATTGGTGACAAAGACCATTTGTAATTTGATTCTAAAATGTATGGGGAATTCAGTGATGCATTTGTCGCAGGTGAATGTGATATATGCGTGATGTCTCAATACCGGCCTCCAATATGACGGAAAGCGCACTTCGGCGTTCGTGTAAGTGTATTTTCAGAATTATCATTAGTGATTTCATGAAAACCTGATATCAGTGATCATTAATACGTAAAAAGTATAGCACTTTAGAAAAGCTACGTATGAACAGAAACAGAGTCAATATCAATCAATACTTGGAGGCCAAACGTATGTTCCGGCGCATCTGTAATGAAAAAAAGGAAACATTCATTGCCGAAGCTTTAAATAACTTGTCAATAGCTGTAAATAATAAAGACTGCAGAAACTTTTGGAAACAATTGAAACGTCTCCTTGCTAGTAAACGTGATGAAAATGATATAACACCAAGTGAATGGTCTGTATACTTTAAAGATCTTTTAAATCCTTCTGATAGTCAAACTGAATTTGATCACGATGTTGCACATTTTCTTGAAAATCGTGATAGTTTTCCATGTGAAAAATGCTTGAACATTGATATGTTATCAGATACCATCAGACATGCGGAAATTATTAAAGCGATCTCTGATATTAAATCGGGCAAGTCACCAGGAATAGATGGCCTTCCGCCAGAATTCATGAAGAATGCACCTTCCCTTACTGATCATTTCTATGCATTGTTTAATGTCATTTTAGATTCAGGAGTATTTCCCTCTGCTTGGAATGTTGGTTTACTGGTACCTATCTATAAACAAGGAAATATGTCTGATCCCAACAACTATCGGGGAATATCCATGTTAAGTGTCATTGGTAAAATTTTCACTTATGTTCTTGAAAAAAAGACTGCGTAGCTGGGCCGAGTTTAATGCTTTACTTAATGAAGGGCAAGGAGGCTTTAGAAATGATTATTCTACCATAGATAATATGTTCTCACTCCATTCTTTAGTTCATAAGTACCTGCGTAAAGCAAAACATCGTTTTTATGTAGCTTTCATCGATTTCCGCAAGGCCTTCGATCTTATTGATAGAAAAAAAATGTTATATATTCTACTTGAAAAGGGTGTACACGGCAAGATGTATAAAATCATTGAGAACATGTACTCAAATGTATGTGCCTCCGTTCGTTCTGGTAAATCTAGAACAGATTTCTTTTCAACCAATAATGGTGTTCGTCAGGGCTGCATGCTCAGTCCGCTACTTTTCATCCTATTCATCAATAAACTTGCAGACGATCTCCATCATGGCAATACTCGTGGAATTTATGTAAATGAATACATAGAAGCTATTAAGATATTACTGTTCGCGGATGACGTTGCACTACTAGGAGATAGCATTGTTGATTTACAAAGAAAATTAGACATTCTTGAAGATTTTTGTAACACGTGGGGCTTTGAAGTAAATCTGGATAAATCTAAGGTGGTTGTTTTTCGAAACGGAGGACGCGTTAAGAGAAATGAAAAATGGTTTTTTAAAGGTCTACCTGTAGAGGACACCCCTTATTATAAATACTTAGGAATTGTATTTTCATCTCGTTTAGTTTGGTCCATAGCATGTGAAACGCTATCTTTACAAGCCAGACGTGCATGTTTCCCTCTGTTTCAACTGTTCACCAAGTATCAAAGTATGTCTTTAACTATTGCTAATAATATATTTGTCAGTAAGATACTACCAATTCTAACCTATGGAAGTGAAATTTGGGGCTATACTTATAGAACGTGTATTGAAAAGGTTCATAGTGAGTACTATAAAAGATTTCTGTTACTCAGTAAAAAAACTGCATCATGTGCTGTACTTGGAGAAATTGGCAGATATAACTTGTGTGTACATTACCATTCAAGGTGTATTAAATATTGGTGCCGAATTATTCGTATGGACCAAAATAGATACCCGAATGCCTGTTATAAGATGATGAAAGCCTATGATGATAACGGAGGCACAAACTGGGTTTCACATGTTCGAATGCTTCTATTTACTACAGGTTTCTCCTATGTCTGGTTAGCCCAAGATTGTGGCGATGTAAATCACTTCATGTTTGAGTTCAAACAACGCTGTATAGATATTAATATACAACACTGGAATAGTAAAATAAGAAACTCATCATTTCTTGTAAATTATAGTACATTTAAGTCACTTCTTGAACCTGAACTGTATATTTCCTGTGGCGCATTAAACAAAGATCTTATGCGAATGTTGATCAAATTCCGATGCCAATCACATAACTTGAATATACAAAAACAACGTTTTTCAAAGATAATTGTCCCATATAAAGAATTAGTTTGTAACAAATGTACTTTAAACGTGCTTGAAGACGAATATCACTTGTTGCTAATATGTCCATTTTATAACCGATGCAGATCCCAATGTATTCCAGCCTATTTCTACAGCCCACCTTCAATTGTCAAATTCCGAGCCCTTATGAAGATACACAGTGTCACTGTTCTTAAAGGAATATGTATATTCCTGAAGCAAAACCTACGTTAAAATAATTGTATTATGAATTATATTTCAACTCTACACACCATGACAATGTTGTATTACCTGTTGTACTCTTGGCCACATGGCCTTCAATTCTGAATAAAGTGAAGTGATGCTCGATCACCATGAAATAGCGGTGAGGGAATGACTGGGCCGTGACTTCAAATACCCGACCTGATACAAAGAGAAATAGTAGAAATACCATGAACCCAGGAGGAGGAAAAGCCGGTGGTCCTACCTTCCTTCTGTGGAATATGACCACAAGAACGGCGTTCTATATTACGAACCGGCGAGGACGGAGAGTCTGTGGTCTTACCTTCCTTCTGTGGAATATGACCACATGAACGGCGGAGAAAAGCCTTTTATACCTCAAAGTATTGCAATTTTAAACAAATGTTGAATGTCCAGTTAAAATCATCTTATTCATTTAATCATTTTTAAGCACATTTTCATCTCTTTTTATGTTTTTAGTAATTTCATATTTTGTGTTCTTATTCATTTGTATTTTTGTCAACCTCTGTGATCCAAAACGAATTCCTTTTAAGGTTATAAAGTATTGTCTATGTCTTGTTTATGTTCTATATTACCCTATGA